TGGTGTTAGTGTTGGGGCTACTCTGTGGTGTTAGTGTTGGGGTTACTCTGTGGTTCTAGTGTTGGGGCTACTCTGTGGTGTTAGTGTTGGGGCTTCTCTGTGCCTACTCACCACCACACCCAGTTTGGTTTTATTCCCTCACTTCCTCTCCTTCCTTCCTGATTCTGTCTTGCTGTGTAGCCAAGGCTGGCCCCAAACTTGAGACCTTCTTGCCTCAATCTCCAAAGAGCCAGTAACAATAGACATTTATCACCCTTCTTCCCTTTCCTCCCCTTACTTCTTTCTTCCGCTCCTCCCACCCCTGCACCCTCCCCCTTCCTTGTCGTCCCCCCCCCCTTTCTTCCCGTCTCTCCCCCATTCCTTCGGGGAGACACAGACTGGCTACTTTCCTCAGGCTGGCCTTGAACCTACTGTGTAGCCAAAACAAGCCTTAAACTTGTGAATCTTCTACTCCAGCTTTCCAAGTAATTGGGATGACAGGCATGTTACAGCAATCGTCTTTCTTAAGATTCATCTCAAGACATTGTCTTATTTTGAAAAAAAAAAAAAAATGCTAACACCGGAAACAAACCTTTGGCCATTCCGGGTCAAGCAGTGCCAAAGGATCTGATCAAATGCATGCTTTAAAGTAAGATTGCTGCTCTTCTGCAAGAGTAAGGCTTGGAGATGGCTCAGTGGTTAGGAGCACTGACTACTCTTCCAGAGGTCCTGAGTTCAGTTCCCAGCACCCACATGGTGGCTCACAACCATCTGTAATGAGATCTGGCGCCCTCTTCTGGCCTGCAGGGGTACATGCAGGCAGAACGCTGTATACATAATAAATACAGCATACATAATAAATAAGCAAATCTTTAAAAAAAAAAAAAAAAGTTCTTTTCCCCCTAGGAAAAGGAGCAAAAGAAAATCAAAATGAGGCACAAGAAAGCCCCCAAACGTAAGGTGAAGCCTGATTTTTACCTCTCCTTTTTCCATGCCAATCAAGGTTAGCTGATCACACAACCAGAAATTCAATTGTCAAGTTTGTTGCAAGAATTAAGAAAAAAATTTTAAAAATTAGGAGCCGAGAGTACAGCTCAGTGATACAACACATGTATTATGCATAAGACCCTGGGTTCTATTCTCAGCACCACAAAAATTAAAAAATAAAAAGGTAAACAGTAAAAGCCCTCTGTCTAGTGCAAAAGACTCTATTGTTAGATTATTACCAGAGGTGAACTAGTGTCTGGTTTGTCTGCAGACAGGAACAATGACATAAGCAGACAGCTGGGGTCCATGGCAGACGGGGCATCTACTGAATGCAGACCGGATTCCCATTCGCTGAGCTACACCTGTCGGACTGGAAGCCCCTGGTGCTTCAGTCATGAGTGAGCACATCCTGTTCAGGGATTTCAGGCCTCAGGAAGCAGGCCTTCGGCTCCACCCTGCAGTGCTGGCGCAGAATCAAGTCTGGGCTGACTTCCCTCCCCGGTCTGCCTGGCACTGCCTTTCCAGTACCATCTGGCTTCAAGCCAGAGTCTCAAGTTGTTCAGGACACCAGTGGCCTGAAAGTGGTACACCTCCCCCAATGCTAGAATGGGAGATTTCCCCTCCCACCTCTTTCCTCCCAGTTATTCCTATTTCCACTTTTGTTTCCACTCAGCTCCATACTCCAGAAAAGGGTTTGTAAGGCTGAAGGGCAGAGAAGAAAACCCGAGGGTCAGTCTGTCCCATTGACCATGATTCTGAACTAGGAGCATGTGAAAGAAAATGATTCATTAGTGGCCGGACAAAGACATGTCATGTGAAGGCCTAGACCTTTTCTCGGACCTTGAGCCCCTACGTTGACCTGCTTTTTTGTTTTGTTTTGTTTTTTGTTGTTGTTTTTGTTTTTCGAGACAGGGTTTCTCTGTGTAGCTTTGTGCCTTTCCTGGAACTCATTTGGTAGCCCAGGCTGGCCTCGAACTCACAGAGATTCGCCTGCCTCTGCCTCCCGAGTGCTGGGACTAAAGGCGTGCGCCACCGCCACCCGGCACTGACCTGCTTTTCATCATGTACATGATCCTGATGATAAAATACTAGGACAACCTCAAACTGGCTTCCCAGACTTGGCTTTAGATCGTGAGGCATTAACCACCATGGTCTGCAGTTCGTTCTAAGTTTTGAGAGGAAAAAGAAACCGAGAACAGAAAAACTTCACTTTTCACCCATTTCTCAGAAGAGAGAGAGAGAATATGAAAGTAGGAGTGAGAAATTATGTTCCACATTTTTTTTTTCTCATAAGACACTAGAATAGATACCCTGACTGACGGCAGACACAAATAAGCACCTATCAAAGAAGGTCAACTTTAGAAAGAGCGGTTCCTGGTATTCCCAGCTCCAGATGTCCTGTGCGTAGGGAAAGGTGGAGCAGGCTTTTGGTGTCCCACAGTGGAACGTTGCTATACTGTTGGGGCACACCTAACAGGAACTCCAGAGGACATGAGACAGTTCAATACATATGTCAGAAGGAGGGGAGTGGAGCAGAAAAGGATGAAGGAATGATGACTGATATTTAAAGATTTCAAAGACAGGTATTTGCAGACACGAGATTCATGAAGCTGAAGAACAGAAAAGTCCATGTTGGTGGATGTCAGAGTCGAATCTCTGAAAACAAAGATGGGATGTAAATCTTGAAAGCAGTGAAGGAAAATGATGCATGATTACAATAGATATATCTGATCCACAGCGTACTTCTCAAGAGAAACTACGGGACTAGAAGAGAGTTGAAAAATACCACTAAAATCTTGAAAACAAGGAAAACCTAAACCCCGGAATTTTTATATTTTATTTTGCAGGTGCTTATTATACATGGGTACGCACATGCCACAGTGCCTGTGTGGGAGTTAGAGGACAACTTGTGGGGGCTGATCTTCTCCTTCGACCTGTGGGGACCAAACTCAAGTCATTGGGCACCTCACTGGTCTTCACTCAGTATTTTACATCCACTGGATGTAAATTTACATTCAAATATGAAAGCAAATAACATTTAAATTTTCATATAAAAGGTAAGAACTTGTGGCCCACAGACATGCACTATAGCTTTAAACTCGGAAAAAAAAAAAGTTATTTAAAGGGAATTATAAATGGAAACTCTGGTCCTCAGGAAGAACACCAGAATGAACAAATGTCTGGGTAAATCAGGATGATTTATGTTGGCCATAGCCTCTTAAATTCTTTGTAAATTATTTGTTTAAGACTAAGCAGTCTATTAGTGGTAAAGGTCTTATGTAAAAGACAAGTTCTCACAGGCTTCCTAAACGATAACGTATTTATCTTATGGGATTTGGACATTTTACTTGTCTATTCCAGCCTGTTCTCACCATGATAGGCTGGTTTTGAGGATAGACTGAGCAGGTCTTTGGATGAAGAATGGGACCTTTGAAAATTACAAATGGGAAAACTGAGAGGATCTATATGGCTGGAAGGAGCATAGACACATGGAAGGGGAAAAGCTTGTGATCAGACGCCCCCATGGTAAAACGTCTGGTTACGGTAAGAGGCCTAAGAAGAACCTATCTGAGATTTTGGCAGAAGGGGAGAAATGAATGTGATCTACACAGTCTACTTCCTGCCTTCCTTAACTCTCCACTCTACGCCTATTGCAGATCCTCTGTGGACTCGACAAGAATGTCTCTGACTTAAGCAGGACTTGACATTTCATCTCCAGTCCATGCTAGAGGTTGAAAGATCCCAGCATACTAGCTTAGCCTAACGCCATTTCAAGTAAGGTCTGAAAAGCGCGGGGTGTCTACAACCAGCCTCCTGGCCCCAGAAAAGGGTACTAAAGGTCAGAAAAACAACTTGGAGCCAGGCAGCAGGCGTGTCAAGCTCGGGGAAAAACCACGAGCTGCCCTGAGTTTGAACCCGGCCTCATTTGAATCGTCCAATCAGAACCCTGCAAACCATGAGCTGCCCTGAGTTTGAACCCGCCCTCCTCGTGCTCCTGCTGCCCGACCCTATAAAAACCCTCCGCTCCAGCCCGGGGGCGCGCCAGTCTCTTGAGCTTCTTGAGGGACTGTGTTGCCCCGGGTACCCGTGTTCCTGAATAAAGCCTCTTGCTGTTTGCATCTGACTCGTGGTCTCGTGTGATCTCTGGGCGAGGGTCTCTCCAGAGGGAAGACTGCCTTCGGGAGTCTTTCAAGGTGAACACAAGATAGTGGGATCTGGGAGCTTCTGAGGGAATTTACAGTGTCAAGATCCGCCCATGAGTGGAGGAAGGTAATGAACTGGGAGGGTGGCGGATGCATCACCTGCCTGAATCATGGATACCAAAAGACTAAGGACGGTGAGTGTTCTGGGTGGACCTCCAGGAGGGACTGAATACTTCAGGTGCTGACATTCTTGGTAAACACTGAGTGCCCTGGAATTTGGCAAAAGAAGACACAAGGAGAGAAGAAGGGTGTGGCTGGTGTTGTGAGCATCAAAAGAAAAGGATATGAGTGAGAGAAAAAAAAAAAGATCCATAACCATAAGCAGCAAGAACATTTCTTGGAAGGTATCTGTTTCCCTCCCAAATTCCATTCTTCTGCTTGTTGAACAGAACTACTGCTAACAAGGCCTGCTGAGGAATCTGAGAATCCTTCATGTCTTTTCCTCTCTTCATTACTTACACCTAACCAATAAACTTTTTTTTTTTTTTAAATATCTTTTACCCTGAGACAGGGTTTCGCTGTGTAGCTTTAGAGCCTGTCCTGTAATGGAACTCTCTCTGTAGCCCAGGCTGGCCTCGAACTCACAGATCCGCCTGCCTCTGCCTCCTGAGTGGTGGGATTAAAGGCATGCATCACCACCACCTGGCTACTACTAAACTCGTAACAGCACCGATCTACTCCAGAGTCACATACGTATGAATTGAGAGAAGCTCGGGTATTGGAGGTCCTCATGCTCTGTTCTGGCAAGACAGACAGATTGGTCTAAAGTTCTGAAGAGAAACCCGAGTTGTTGAGTTAGTGCTTGGGATACTTTGGGCAGACACACGGAACTCCAATTCGCACCAGAGGTTGTTAGCTTTGTAGTTTCTTTTAGGGAGACGTTTAAATGCTCCCCAACCCGCTTCCCTGTCCTCCCCCTCCTCCTCCCAAGGATCTGGCAGCTTCCTCAACAGAAAGAAGACAACGTGAATGTTAGCAGGTCCAGAACACCAAAACACAGGTGATACCAGTGACCTAGTTCACCTAGTTGGCGATGGGAGGGAAGTGGAGATTAACTATCTGCCCATTAGGAATCAAAAATCAATTCTACCTTACAGGCCAATGCTCTGCAGTACTGTGGTGAGGATTCTGAGGCGTCGAGGCTTGGATATGGGCATGGGAAGGGAGCTCTGGGGTGGACACGGTAACAGGTGCTCAAGAGTGCTTTTCTTAACCCAAGCGGCTTGTTTATAGAGGGAGAAGCCTTATTAACTGGTACCCAGAAAGTGAGGGACTGCCTAGACTGATACCAAGGAGTAAGGTGTCTCTGTGTCACGGAAGCTCAGGACCTGTCTGTCAGGTCTGGGTCAAGTCCCAATCGAAGAGTTAAGAAAAACACTGTGAGAGCAAGAAAAGCCTGTTTATCACCACCAACGTTTGCTAAATTCCTCCTAAGAGTTGGTTGTCCAGTTCAGTCAGGCCTGAACACTGCAGCGGTCACTTTCAAGTCAGACTTGATATCTTCCTTCATCTGCCCACACAGGTAAAAAAATGAAGCCCGGGGCTCATCTGATCTACACAGATCTCTCATATTTCAACAGAAATCCTAGGGATCTGAATATTTTTAAAAAATATTCATTTATTCATGGGATTTTTGAAACAGTTTATATATAGCCTAGACTGACCTCCAACTCCTGGTCCTTCCGACTCAGCCTCTTGAGGGCAGGGATTCCAGACACGCACCATCACAGCACAGTGCCCTCAGACGGAAATCTTGAGTCTTAGACCACCCTCTCCCCACTCTTATGGCTCATTAGAAACCATCAGCTCTTCACCCCAATCTCCAGAAAGCCTTTTTTTTGGTCGAGGGAGTGTTGTCTTCTTCAAACGTCTAGCCCTAGACAGCGAATGGTGACTTTGTGAGGAGTCTTTGTGAGGAGCCCACAGAATGGGAAAGGGTGCTAGAAATTCCGAATTTGAGTTCCTCCCATCCGATGGTTAAGAATGTCGTCTAGCTTCTGCAGGCAGAAGAACCTGGGGCAGTCTTCCTGTGAGCAGCTTGCTCTTGCATGTGAACAGGGCTAGGGAATGCTCCTTGTTGGACTCCGTGTGTGTGTGTGTGTGTGTGTGTGTGTGTGTGTGTGTGTGTGTGTGTGAAGGTGAATGTGGCCCATTCTTGGGTGGGGTTAACTCCTTTAGGGAAGTCCCCGCGAAGGGTCTGCCTTGAAGTTGGCGGCAACTCCTTCGCACCTCTCACTTCCCCATTCTCGGGAAATTCTAGCTCCCACCCTCCACGAAGAGTGAGTAAGAAGGTGGTTCCAGAGAGAGAGAGAGGGAACAAGCTCCATGTGCGGTCCAACAGGGATGTCCTGGACATCTCTTGGCCCTTCCCAAAAACCTTGGGGTCCAGTGTGGCAGGAAACGTCCCCCAAGCCACCGCTTGTCCCCTCCAAGAGGAGGAGGAGGAGGAGCCAGGTGGGTCCTGGGCGCCCCGGGAAGGGTTGTCAGCTCCAGGGCTCCGGGACGCTGCGGGCAGAGAAGAGCGCTTTTAGCCCACGCCCTCGCGGTCCAGGGCTCCACGGTGCCCGGGGTGGTGGTGGGGAAGGAGATCCGACACGCCACGCAGTGTCG